TTGTGTAAAATCTGGTTTAGAATGGTGAATGGTGTTAACATTGAATCTTCTTAATTTCTTCTTGTCTTCAGTTGATTGATATATATACGTCTTTTGTATATATATTCTTGGGCTAAATGCTCACCACAATAATATATGTCTATTTTATTGAAAAGTAGTAATACGCAATCTGACTTACGGTTTCTTCTGGTTTATTCTTTGTTACGAATACATAATAAAACATAATAAATGATGTTACAGGATAATGGACATTCAACAGCAGATGGTAATTGCTGGACTTCTGATGGGAGAGTTACATCGTTGTACAGAGCCAAGAGCTAAGCCAAGTGTGAGAGACCTCGTGTCCCTCTGTTACTATATAGAAGTGCTAATACTAACGTCAGCGTTTACCTCTAGCCATATAAGGACAAGACCCCCGAATCCACATTCCAGAGCTCTCAGACAAAGAAAGCCTTGTGACTTATTGATACCATCTGTTACTTATGTCAATCCACACATCCATATATATAATCAATAGAAACATAGAATATGCAATATTCTGCATTCCCTCTGTTTATGGTTTGTTTTAAAACCATAACACAATGTCACTAACCTGTTCATTCATACATCACTTGTATCACATTCATTGAGCATAGAACAAGATGTAGTCACAATTTTCTATTATATGAGAGTTCTTAGAAGGTCGAGTTTCTATCCCTCATACTGCTTACTTTACTTCAAACTCCCTCTGTTTCAGCTATGTATTGATATCCATATCCATGTTACATCATAACTACTTGAACATAATATGTACATATATATAACAATAATAAATGAATACAATAAAATATTTACAAATGTTGATCCAATAAACAATAAAGCAATCAAAAATATCTACCTGCTCTGGTACATTCATGTCTTTGTAGACAACAAAATCAAGATCGTAACTTTCTAGATAATAACTGTGTATCACTATCATATTCCTAATAAAGACACATATAGCATAGTATTTTCATTCTCAATACCTGATATTATTTAAGTACTAATACGTGTATTACTATAATATCCTGTCCAATTAGATTTCCATGAATCTTATGGTTTCTAGCAACCTTAAAACCTTTAGGTCATTTGTATTCATGAATTACATTCCTATACCATTAATACCACCTAGTGATGATTGCATCAGTAGGCTCTCACTACCTAAAATATACCAACACTACTTATAAGACTCATTCAAAGGATGTGTTATCAACCATGCAGTTCTAAAATAATTCTTCAAATAATGTTCATGGTGTTGACAATACTTATTGTCCTTGAAATTCTCCACCCAGAAATCTTTCTATCATAGATTTGTTTTTGTTTACATAATTATAATTTTGACTAAAATTCCACCTTGTAGTAACAAACTTTTCATTCAATCGGAGAATGGTTTACTTTAAAAGAACTTGGAAAGAATAATTTAAATTCATTATCATCACTCTCTTCATTAGCATTGTGATGACTTATTAATGTAATACATCTTAAAAGCAGGATTGTCCTAATGTTCTGACCAATCCATATTCCTTAGTACACTTCAACTGACTAAATTAAAATAAACAAAACTTGGGGTCATACTGCCCAGAAACTCTTATTCCTAGTCTGTGTCTAACAAACTCAGGGAAATCTTAAAACAACTTAACAACTTATTCATTGGATACCATCATATCCAGAAACCTATTCTCCCTAGTCCATACCTTTTATAGACTTAGGTCAAATATAATTGTGTACTATACTCTTTCCATTCAATTCAATTCCTCTTGGATCTCTGAACTCTTATATCCAAGGCCTTCTTAATGTATACTATTACTTAATATTAATCAATATAAATTATCCTTCCTTAGTTTTCTTCCTTTTATTACCATTGTTTGTTTTACTTCAACTATATAAACAAATTACTCATTATAGTTAATCTATGAAATAATATTGAACTCAATCTTTGTGGTATTAAGTAACCATGATCCTTATTTTATCAACTTCATATTTTATCTACCTCTGATACTTCTCATTCTATGTATAGGTAATAATGTAATAGTTATTTTCATAATACTATCCTTTTGTAATTGTACTCCATGTGTTATATAGCTATAAGTAGTCTCTTTTGGTATTAATACTTATAACTGTTAAATAACTTTTCATTGTCTGTTTTCTTCATTAATATTTAGGAATTAATATTTGTTAGTGTCAATCTTTTATTTCTTTGTAAGTCTGTTAATCTTCTGTATCGAATGAACTCTGTAGAATCTTCCATCATAGTTTGCAGATCAGATGAAAAGTCTCTTTCCAACAGTCGATGTCCAGTTGTCTGAAGGAATGCTTTCCTGATTTATTGCCACAAGGATCTGTCACGCTTTACCTACATTAAAACAAATAACATGTGCAGCATCAATACAATGGCTTACAATGTTTATATCTCATTATTATTACACAGTTTAACATTGAATTACATGGACTACACAACATACTAATTTCTGCTCATGAGATCTACCATCTAGTGGTCATTACATTTATGCCATGTGATGTATAATCTTTAAATTTCCTTTATATTCAAATCTTTCTGAACATTTTATTAATCATACCCCCCTTTTAAACTGTTTAATAATCTGGAGGTATAACCTAAGCACATATAAGATGTTACAACAAAATATTGTTTTCCACTATACTTTAGCAATAGCAGCCATCTTGTCTTAACACTGGCACCATTTTGCCACATGAAACAAACTACAAAAAACATATATTGTTTCCTTCATCAAATGTATTTGTAAATTTAGGTTTTATTCTATCAAAACTTTTGTCTTCTATGTAGTCAAAACATATATATGGGCTTTGCCTGGGTCCAGGCTTTGCAAAATATAGTAATCCATTATCAGTCATGACATTAAAATCTCATTCTCATGAATTAAATCAAAGATTTTAAATCAACCTCAGGAGTAACAAGGAATATATCCATTGTTTTTTCCTTCTGTAAAATTATTGGAGTTACTGTATAATCGCATACACCCAATATAACATTGCATGTTCCTAACTGCTACATTAGTGTATTTAATTCTGCCATATTTGCAAACTTGATGTAAATTTTTATTTTAATTAATTACCTAATACTTTCTTATAACACACATAAAACAATGAAAAAACAGTACAGACTAACAATTCATTAAAACAACAAACTAACATAGATCTCTATTCTTGTGCTGTTCTTAGTTCTGGAATCAGCCTGTGTAAATCTGTTGGCACACATATCCATGCTTATTCCCTAAACTGATCACATCTCTTGAAGTTATCTGATGCTTATAACTTTCTGTGTTACACTGCATTGCTTGTCTGTCTCCTAATTTTGATTTAGCTAAAATTTCTTTTATTTGTCTGATTATAAGTTTACAAGGAAAGGCTTTAATTGATTTATCTCCACATGTATTTTCTCTGTCAAAATTTTCAATCAACAAATTTAATTTCTCATTTGCTTTTGATTTGATATCTCGGATAAAATATCTGCAAGATCTTAAATAATGTTGTTTATTGCACCAAAAACAAATCATTTTAGGAGTTATATTCTGCCTTTGATTTGAACAAATTGGGAGGGGCTCAGCTGTCTGTATCACTCTTTTACACTGAGTCCACGAAAAAGAAGAAGGAGGGGGACGAGGGCTGTAACATCTGCACTTCTTTCTCTGCCTAAATCCACAAGTCGTTTTAACCCCTTCATTATTGGTTTCCCTCCTTAAGTTATCCAAGAACAAAGCTACTTCTGTCAAAGTGCTTTTTTCTCTAGCTAACACAATTGCAGTTGGATCTAGATCTTTTTTTCACAAATTCATTAATTAACTGATCTTCAGAAAAATCAGCAACAAGTCTATATGCACTTTCAAATTTTGCAAGAAAACTAAATATATCCTCATCAATGTGTGGTTTTAGTTTTTCCAACATTTCAGTGTCTGCAAAATCATTCCCTGTTGTTAATTTTATTAATTGTGTTAATCTGTTTTGCTTATTTCCATATATTATTTCATCATTGTCCTCACATTTTACAGGCGCGGTCAGCCTACATGCCATTTGAGTCGGCAGCCATATTTGAAATAGTCTATTCCTTTGTTCGTAATTTAGGCTGTATTTGTCTAAATTAGACTCAAACATTTCAGCATTAGTAAATGTATCCACTGACGTGTCATAAACTGGAATACATTTCACAATTTTCATTAATTGTTCATGGATTTTCAAATTAAGTTTTGCAGTTCTGTCTTGAAATTTACATTTCTGCAAATCACTCTGTGAGGATACATTTTCAGTATCAGTTGGTTCTGGGATTAGATTCTGTGCCTGTATTTGTCTTCTATTAACACACACTTGCTTTACTTCATTTGTAAACTGGCAACTAAAATCATTTCTTAGTTCATCTCTATCCTCTAATTCACAGACTTTTTCTGACAATGTGCTCTCTGTTACATTGTCACACTGTTCATTTAAATCTGATTTGTCTTCTGTTAACCCATTCAAATCTATTTCTTTTTCTGCTGATTCTAAATTGTCTTGACCTGTATCTTGTTTGCAAATCAATGCATTGTAAGTACAGACTAGTTTCATAACATTTCTGATCTTTTGTTTTTTCTTATTAACAAACAATTTCTTGTCAATTTCACTATTGGCAATTTCACATTGTGTGTATAAAGATTGCCACAATACAGCATCTGAATAGCTGCTATTAAATGCAAACTGCAATTTACTTTTCTCTGCAATATCATTTATGAATTCCATGTTACTCACCAGATCAGTTATCTCTGTCTATTTCGTTGCTTCAGCCACACAGCTGCGCAGTTCTTTGCTTGGATCTGGAAATTTGCCAATCTCTGCCACGTGCTTGCTTCTAGAATTCACGTTCTATCTTGTGCTTTTTGTTTCAGTTGTAGAAAATAGTCTTGTACAGTCTTTGATTTGAAAACTTTCTTTTTCTTACAAACCACAGTTCTTCTATGATAGTCAGTCTAGATTCTTTTTTTTCTCTTCAAGTTTGTTTTCCCAGTTCCAAAATAGCTTTGTAACTCGATTCTTCTCTCTCCCCCCTTGAAGTGGGAACAAAACTTGAATAGAAGACTGGCAGGCTAGCCAATGTAAAATGTACTTTTGATTGGAACGGAATGGTGATAATGTAGAATCTTCTTAATTTCTTCTTGTCTTCAGTTGATTGATATATATACGTCTTTTGTATATATATTCTTGGGCCAAATGCTCGCCACAATAATATATGTCTATATTATTGAAAAGTAGTAATACGCAATCTGACTTACGGTTTCTTCTGGTTTATTCTTTGTTACGGATACATAATAAAACATAATAAATGATGTTACAGGATAATGGACATTCAACAGCAGATGGTAATTGCTGGACTTCTGATGGGAGAGTTACATCGTTGTACAGAGCCAAGAGCTAAGCCAAGTGTGAGAGACCTCGTGTCCCTCTGTTACTATATAGAAGTGCTAATACTAACGTCAGCGTTTACCTCTAGCCATATAAGGACAAGACCCCCAAATCCACATTCCAGAGCTCTCGGACAAAGAAAGCCTTGTGACTTATTGATACCATCTGTTACTTATGTCAATCCACACATCCATATATATAATCAATAGAAACATAGAATATGCAATATTCTACAGTTTGAATGTTAGTTTTTTGAGTTTCTTTTATATATATATTTTTTTGGTGCTGATCCCATCAGCTTAACATCATTTGTGAAGGTGTTCCTGTTTGCTGGCATTGAGTTGTCTGTTGATGTGATATGATGTGCCCGTTTATTGCTTCTATCCTGTAAGTGCAATATTTATTAAAGGTTTACATTGTTTTAGAAGCTCTGCACTATTATTTCTTAATTTTGTCTCCTATATGCTGCAATTCCAATACGAGGATATTCTTCAATACATTTGATACGCCTTCAATCAATTTGGGTTTGTGAATGTGCATTTTACCCATTTTAATACTGTTTTAGACACGGCAATATTGCCCTATGTTTTACTCTTTCGCATTGTAGCTACCTGGTTTTTGGTATATTGTTTTCTTTGGGGGGGGGCTGGAATGGATCCTCTGTCCCTGGGGGTGATGCTGGGCAGGGATCTCTGTGCTCTTCATGCATAGGTCCCTTGCATGACCAATGCTGATCCTGGGATGATGTCTTATCTCATCGGCCGGCTCACTGCTGGATGTGTGAAGATGCTGTCCAGGAGGAGCACAGTATGTAAAGGGCTCCCTGCTTCCCTTGCTGCCCGTCAACCCGGACCACAACCAGGCTGCACTGCTAGTGCCCACAGGCCGCGGGCTGGACACCCCTGATCTAACCAACCCACGCAATGCCGAACATGATCGGGGAAGTTAATAAATTAAAATCTATATTTAAGCAAATATAAACAAATATATGATATATACATATAGATTTTTTTTGCTGCTCCTCCTGTTTTTCCTTATACCTTTTCTCACTTGATCTGTGACCCAGTAGTCACAGCACCTATTGGTAGTATAAAATGCTATGGCTTAACCATACCTCCAGTGGGGGAAAACATGTGGGTGACCAATAACCCTCATTCAGTTTTATACCATTACAAAATAGCTTAACACGTAATGGAGGGATGGCACCTGGATACGTCAGGCAGTATAACAACTTCAATTAGATTAAATGATGGTGCCTAGCATATGGAGGTTCCACGCATCAGGCGCCTGCTGTATGACTGTGTTGTGGGTCATTGCAGAGTGGGCACTGAGGGGGCTGCTGGAATCACTTCGCACTGATTTCCTAGATTCCTTGGGCACCCTGTACTATTGCTTGAGTTGGGATATGCCATCATGCCCGCACTAATAATGGTAAAGAGCACCAGGGATCTGGGAAATCAGTGAACAGAGACTGATCCTCTCTGCACCCCACTGGACCACAGGCATTAGGTTCCACTCTGCTCTCCCTGTCAATATACGTAACGGCAAGGTTAAATTAATAAGTACACATTATTGTATTATCTAATACATTTTTTTAATAAGAATTAAGTGTGTCCATTAATATAATTATGAGTGTTTATCTGAAGGTCTCTGTGTGTACATGAGTCTGTGTGTGTGTTTGTGTGTGTATATGATTTGGTGTAAGAGTATGTGTGTACATCAATGTGTGTTTTGGTACATGAATGTGGATGAGTCTGTGTGTGTATATGGATGTGTGTTTATGTATTAATATCAATGTGTGTACCTGTGTATATGTGTCCATGTGAATATAAATCTGTATGCATTTGAATGTGAATGTGTATTTGAATGACAGTTTGTTGGAGACACCAAATTGCCCCAATATGAATTTGCTATATTTGGTAACATATTTACATTTCAACCCAGTTATCTTTAATAATTAAATACCAGATTTAATTTTTTCATACATTCACTTCATATTTTACAAAATCAAGTGCACAAGTGGAGCTTTGTAAATAACCATGACTAAGTTAAAGCACAGATTTACAGGGTTATTCACTAAACACAGAAATTTAGCAAATTAAATCCAAATGGCAAATTTGAGGCTATAATAACCAAGTTCTGACTAAATATCAATATATGTTAAATATTTTTGAAAATATTAAATCATTTTATTAAACATTTATCCCAAAAGTATAAAATAATTTCAAAAGCATATCTAAAAATATTAAATGGAGGCCTTCATTTGCTGTTTATTGAATAACACAGTCAGAGCTTTATTCATTATACACAGAAACATAGTGATCTGAAATTCAACCCGCAAAAAGAATCTGGCTGTAGCTGGCTTGGGGATTTATTATCAACTGTTTTAGCCTTAATTTTGCAATTCAGATTTTAATTTACTATATGGGGGACTAAACCTCTAATGGTGCATGTAAATGTGAAGAAGAGTGGATGTATTTTGCAGAAAATATTTTCTATTTTCTTCGAGTTGGCTAATTCACAATAAAAGTAATCCCCCCTATCTGGTTTCAGCATAGCGTGCACTTCTTAAAGCTATGCAATTTCCTTCTATAATGTATACAAATTGAAGTTCCTATCATGGTTTTATTTATATAAGCTCATTTTTTCAGATTGTTTTCCCTTACTTTCACTTGTGGCCTTTGTTAGAAATCTTTGGAATATGCATTCACATGTTTAAAGCGTCTTCTATCAGTGGCCAAATGCATACTGTAACGAACATCTCTGGCATTCTGTAGCGTGCAAGTTAGCAGTTCATCATGATTATGATAACTAAATTATGCTTCTTCAGTTCTTCATAGTTCATTTTGTGCATTGCTGACATGCATCAGCTCATGTGTTCAAAGACATATGGAAACATTATGACTAAAAGGCTCCTTTCTCTCAAGTCATTAGTCCGTCCTGCTGTTTGTGTCTATTTATATTTAATACCTTTGCATTTCTTTACAAACAGAGATATCAATTTAATATTTTTGGATAAGCTTTTCAAATGATTCAAATCCGTTAGAAAAAAAACAAAAAGCCATCTTACCTGTATAGGATATTATCTGAATGGCCTAAACAAACAACATTTTCCAGACGTAATACTCATGGCCATAAACAAAAATTTGAAACTATTAGTGGTACAATTGTACTAGCAAATACCTTGAAGGATAGATTTGCCTGTCTGAACTGCAGAGAAGAGTGAGCTGACCTGCTACAATGCATTTGTGAAAGTCAACATGTAAAGGAATACTGGCAGGATGTAGACATGTGCAATTAATTTCTGAATGTGAATTTGGACGAATTTCGGACATTCTGATGCTTCTGAATGTCCGAATTGCTGAAGTCCCGAATTGCCGAAGTGCAGTTTGGATAGGGTAGGGTTAGGTTAAGGTTGAGTTAGGGTAGGGTTAGTGTTAAGGAAGGCTTAACACTACCCCTGTTATGTTATGGGTAGGGGTAGGGTTAGGGTAGGATTAGTGTAGGGTTAGGGTAGGATTAGGGTAGGGTTAGGATTATAGTAGGGTAGATTTAGTGTAGGGGTAGGGTTAGGGTAGGATTTGTGTAGGGTTAGGGTAGGATTAGGGTAGTGTTGGAGGAAAGGTTAGGGTAGGGTTATGGTAGGTTTTTTTTTGCTGTTGATCCAAAGAAGGCAAAAAAACAGTTTGAAGCACTTCAAATTTTGCAACAAGCTAGGAAAAAAACTTCTTCTTGACCCCAGAATGGCTGTCAGATTTATCCTTGGATCAAGCAGTTATTACCCTACATTGAAAGATTATATCCTTGAATATTCTGTTTTTTGCAAGTATGCATCTAGTAGCTGTTTGAACATCTGTATGGACTCTGATAAAATCACTTCTTCAGGCAGAGAATTTCACATCCTTATTGTTCTTACAGTAAAAAAAAACCTTTCCTTTGCCTTAGATGAAATCTTCTTTCTTCCAGTCTAAACGCATGACCTTGTGTAATGTAAAGTTCGGTTTGTGAATAGATTTCCACACAATGGTTTGTATTGGCCCCAAATATATTTGTATAATGTTATCATATCCCCTCTCAGGCGACGGTTTTCAAAACTAAATAGGTTTAAATTTGTTAACCATTCTTCATAGCTGATATGTTCCATTCCTTTTATTAATTTTGTAGCCCACCTCTGCACGTTTTCTAGTGCCATAATATCCTTCTTTAGAACAGATGCCCAAAATTGCACAGCATGTTCAATATGTGGTCTTACCAGTGATTTAAAAGGGGCAAAATTATATTCTCATCTCAAGAATGAATGCCCTTTTTCATGCATGATAATACCTTACTGGCCTTGGCCACTGCTGATTGACATTGCACATTGTTGCATAGTTTGTTGTCTATAACAATTCCCAAGCAGAGTAAGTGATGAGAACCGCACCCAGTCCCAACGGCCAAGGGTGCTCCAGAGCAGGACCAGCAATCCCAGTACAATAATCCAAGAGGAAAAATAATCCAAGAGGAAGTTGGAGTGCCTGTGAGTTTTTTCCTCTTATAACAATTCCCAAGTCCTTTTCGTGTGTTGTTATCCCTAATTCACTTCCATTAAGGATATACGTTGCTTGTGTATTCCTTACGCCAAAGTGCATAACTTTGCATTTTTCAACATTAAATTTCATCTGCCATTTGAATGCCCAGTCCCCCAGTCTATCTAAATCCCTCTGCAGCAATGTAATATCTTGCTCACATTGTATTATTTTACAGAGTTTTGTGTCATCTGCAAATACTGAAACATGACTTTCAATGCTTTTTTCAAGATCATTTATAAACATGTTAAATAGAAGTGGTCCCTGAACAGAACCCTGAGGGACACCA